CTAGAGCTGGAGGAGCCTGTGGAGACCCATGCCAGCACTGAGATGCTTCCACCACCATTGGATCCACAAGACTTTCTACCCACTGGCCTGTGATCTTCCTGCATTTGGCATCATTGCATGTGTTGTGTGAGTCTAAAGAGGAATTTATAGACTGGTATCGGACATATGGGCTAATATCAGACTTATGGGCTTGATCTGGACTGGGCTGGGATGTTTTCTCAATATACAATTGTTCTTGTATATAACTCTTTCTTCTACACATATGAGTGTCTCTGGATTTGTTTCTCTAGGCTGCCCAGGTGTTGTATGAGTCGGCATTGGGTCCATGCCATGGACAAAAGCAGGACTCGTGCTGAAGATCAAACTAAGATTGCTGTTAGGAAAGTGTGAAGTTAGTGGGGAATGTTTAGAGGGAGGTTAATCCACTGATTTGAGGTTGGAGTTACGCAGAGATCCCTCAGAAGAAAGGGTGGCGATCTACTGATTCTTCAAGGGTGCGTCAGAGTTGGAGTCTCAATGGCAGCTGGTTTGCTTTGCTTTTTGGGTTTGGAAAGAATCAAGTTTTAACCCAGTGGTTCTCAACCTTCCTAACGCCACGACCCTTTCATACAGTTCTTTGGGTTGTGGTAACCCCCCAAGCCATCAAATCATTTTCATTGCTACTTCATCACTATCATTTTGTTATGGTTATGAATTGGGCAACCCTGGTGAAAGGGTCATTCGACCTCCAAAAGGGTCGAGACCCACAGGTTGAGAACAGCTGTGCTAAATAAACATCTGTTGTAGGTTGACAGGGGAACAAATAGATCTCTTTAACATCTGGAACTTGAGAAAGACCACAGGTGTCTCCTAATGCCCAACATGGCTCGCTGCCAGTCTGGGAATCTTGGTTCTAGCAGGGGCAGGGGTAGCTGAGGGAGACCCTGTTCACAGAGCTCAGTGCGAAACATGCTTGCTTGTTACAAATTCTGCCTCCTTCAATCTTGCTCATCTGATGAGTTCTTCTTCTTTTTCTGTAATAATATAGACCCGAGGACTGATTAGACTTTGTTAGTTTAGTGGAGTGTTTTCTTGTCATTGGTGTTACCTCAGAGTGATGACATAACCTTTCCTTTCCTTGGTGATGCATGAATGAGAAGTCAGATGGGTTGCTGGGAGTCAGAACAGACTCAAGAACACTCAACAACAGCAGTAACATGGGGAGACAAGTAGTCATGCCCAGGGACACCCCAGACCCATGCCTGAGTTATAATCATAGCCATCATATATCCCTTATGGGATATATCCTGGACGCTATACATCTATGGCTATAATCTCATTTTGGAAGACATTCTAATGGGCGTACTAATAGACAAGATTAGGATAAGATTAAGGTCAGATTTTAGTAGAGGGTATGAATGAAGCCACACCTTTTGTTTCCTTGGGGGCATCTTTGACTCGACCTTCGTAGAGGATGTGCTCTAAGCCATCATCCTTCACTTTCCTTGTACGGGGTAGATCTACTGTACCGTCACACATATAGTTCTGAATGCATAGATACGTTCTAACACCCATCACCTCACCTGGAAAGCCAGACCTCTATTTCCTGACTGAACTGTGGTAGAAGCAAGAAGACCTACTGTGGCTTCGGACACGTGGCTTCTGGCTTTGGACCCTGTCTTTGGCTCACTTTTTCCTGACCTGCAGCTTCAAATGAGACACGCTGCAGCAAATCGCAGAACCCAGGGACCTGATGGACTAACTCAAGGGAGGGTGTGTCTGGGAGAGAGGGGGCGGGTGTATAGATGGAGCAGAATAGCCTCTTGGAAAAGTGGAACATTTGGACATCTTTAATCTCCAACTCCTCAGGATTTGTCTGGTATAAAAGAAATTATTGCCACTGCT